GACTAATACTCAGAGAGCCTCATGGCACCTGGAGAGGTGGGCAGATGGATGTGGGGATTAGCCATCAATTTAGATCTAGACCAGGTCAGTAACATATGAAGGCTCTTGTCTTCTAACAGCTGCTTAGGGGCCTCTGTGAAATGAGGTGGTGGCTTCCATCCAGTTCTGGACAGCTGTCTTCCTCACAGAATCATTGCCACCATTGACATTAATAGGCTCTCTGGCTGGGGACCTCTTGTCATTTCTGCTTTCCTCCTCCTGTCTTTTCCCCTTTCCTTTCCTCCACCAGTAGGTGGCCTGAAGAAAGAAAGAGCAGCAGCAGTTAGAGGGAAGAATGTGTTAACACCTCAGACTGCTCTCTGCCAGGACTTGCAAAGGGACCTCAGACCAAGGCTGTTGGGATAGAATGCTCATACCTCCCACAGTGTCTGCCTTCACGGCTGCCCCAGCCCTAAATTGCTTTGCTCAGGGTGTGTCAGAGTTTACTCTGGGATTGTCTATTTTATCCATTGAGCTTCTCCTTTCATCACAAGGCAGGGAACATGGCTGTGTTTGTACAATAGATGGGCCCAAGGGGAATTTTGAGTGATTCAGTAGTTGTGGTATAAACCCTTCATTATAACTCCCTCTCAGGCACAACCAGGAATTACTAGAGGCAGAAGGTTGTACAGTTTCAGTTAGATTCCCTTCTGTGATAAGAACTGTATATTTTGGGGGGATATGCATGGCAGTCATCTTCCCAAACCCCAAATCAACACACCTATCCTGGCCAGGCATTTCTTGGGTTTAAAATCTATTTGACAAGTTTTGATAACATAAACATAAAACTCCATTTTTAATTAAATTAAACAGCTCACTTGAATGAGAAGAAATGGCATTCTACAACACTAAGACTGCTTCAAAACCCATGGCATAGCTGATTACCTTCAAATGTTTTTAATGCTCTTTGGTTCCTTCAGAAAACTACTAGGAAATGGCAGTGGTGGCTTCTATGTTTGAAATGTCCATGACTGCTTTCAGGTTATCCAACTTGGTTTACTTAGTCTCAATTTAAGAGTCAAAAAATGATCTCAAAGGAAGACTTGTCACTCAGATATGCCTTATTTTTCCAACCAGAAGTAGGCAAGGGTAGGACATGGCGCTTTCACACTATTGGAAAGAGAAAAAATGGAAACAGTTTTGCAGTGGTTCAGCGCTTATTAAGAAGCCCAAAACATTTTGCCCTAGGCTGTCTCTCTTTGGAATTTAAAACCTGTGTACTGCATTGTTGGGGAAATTCAGCTAACACACCACACATCAGGTTGCGTTTAACTCATTGCAATGTTGATTACTAAGAACACTTAACACGACCAACAAGATATCCTAGCCTTTCAAATGATCATATGAAATCTAAGAGAGGAGCTTGAATTGGGTCAATATTAAACAGATGTGAAATCCCAGATATTCTTTGCAATTTAGAAGGTAAAATTACTTAGCACAACCACTTTGGGCAAGGGTTTTGAGTCTCAGAGTAATGACCAGGACCCACAAAACAGTCATGTAGGAAAAAAGTGAGGTTTAGAGCTGGGGAAAATTATCCAACACCAGCTCTCCCTCTACAACCTTGATGATCTGCTCTCTCTCATCTGTGTGATGGGACAAATCATACTCTGTCACCTTCTGGGTTATTTTTGTTACTTAACGAGTATAGTTACTTGACGATCAAAGTACTAAATATTATTACTAATTAAAAGAAGCAACTGTGAACCAAACGTAAAAAGAGAAATGGCCTTGGGAAAGTGTAATTTCTAGAATGGACAGATTATCTAACAGGTAAAAGAATGACTCTCAGTTTTGTGATTCACTTATTTATTCATTTAGAAAATAACAATAGAAGAAATCTGAGACATGACACAATCAGGTTGGCTATGTGCCTATTTGTTCTTCTATTTTATAAAAAATCCTCAAACCCTTCTGACTTCAAAAAAATGTAAAAAAGCAAAAGCAAAAAAAGAAGAAACCGCCATTCCGATTTATAACCGTTTGTAGTCTGGGTGTGCCTTGAACTTTGCATTCAAAAGGAAAGCATTTTTTTTTTTTTTTCTGAGTTTCTACCAATACCCATCCTCAGCTTACCACTTCCAAAAATATCTCTCTTCTTGAAAGCAAAAAATAAGTGAGGAAGAATTGGTTTACAGATGCTGCAGTCTCAAGATGCACCAGTTTAATCCAAACAGGACAAAATGAGTGTCTGAGAAGAGGTGAGGTTTCAAGAGTTGGGGAGTAAATGAAAGCATCATTTCCGGAGTCCACACCTTCTTCTGTCATTGTTGGCTGGAACTTGTCTGGCACTGTAGTTTTCCCATCTACACTAGTGAAAATGCCATATTGTCACCTCCCTCTCTTCATCCTTTGTTTTCTTCCATAAGGACATTGGAGGATGAGAGAATGAATGGAGTAAATGTATATTATGGATACAAATAATTTTTTTTTTTTTTTTGCTAATAATGTATGCTAGTCAGAGGGAAAATATTTTTTATGTGGTTTATATTCATTTTTCTAAGCTCTGAAAATCTTCTCTCAAAATTTAGTCCATGGGATGCAAATCTAAAACTCATCATGGACTAAACACATGATAATAATGAAAGAATCATATTTTTCAGACAATAGGGTGTAGTGAGGGTTGTGTTACCTGGGAAGGGTCACATCTAAGTCCACCAGGGTATATATAATTTTGGGGCACCCCAGTCATATTGTATTGTATGTGAAGGGTGCCCCCTAGTGTGGAGCAGTGTGTGTGCCCCACCCCATTCATCCATTCGGTGTACCCTCCTTGAACGTGCTGTGTACCGGGCATGGTTCTAACCGCTGGGAGACAGCAATGGACAAAAGCAGACAGGAATACCTGGTCTCAGGAAACCTAAAGGCATTCTCAATTCAATTATTTTTTAAAAGACAAAAAGCACCATGCAAACCAAATAAAATGCATCTGCCTGCAAAATTTGGCCCACGAGCCCCCCAATTAATGACCCTGCTCAAGTCTTTTAAATGATTTCTGTGATCTTGCAGGTTTTCGCCCCAGGGACAAAGCACAGAAACACATACGAACCAAAGGCTTGCACCCACTGCTCAGTTCATGCTTAATGAGAGCTCTGTGAACATATGCGAGTCAGCTAATTAATTTTCAATTAAAATTCTGTATCCCCACTCCAGGGTGTATACTTGCTAGTCCTTCTTCCAAGAAAACATGATTCCTAGAGGTGATCTGTTAGGTAAGTGAGGAAGGATAACTGGAATGAGGTGCAGTCATGGCATTCTGCCAAAAACACTGTCTGCCTAAATACCGGTGGGTCCTGGAGGCTGATGGGAGAGGCGGGCCACTGGGGACTGGTCAGCGTGGCTCTTGAACTGATTCACCTACACATTCCATTTAAAAACTTTTTTTACGCAAAAAAGTTGGTTTCCAAAGTGTCAGGTCTCTTGGGAGTTGTGTGAACAGAAGCAGGGTAAGTGCACAGTGCAGAGAGCTCTCTTATAAAGAATTTATTTCTCAGCTCCATGGCCTCTTAATGCCATTGGATGGGAAGTTTCATTTAATCTGCATAGAGTCAAATGGAACTAAAAGAAGATTGGGCCATCTAGCTGGCTTTCATGTCTGGAAGATTTTCTTTATTTTGCATTGGAAACTTTAGCAAAACTGAAAAGAATACTTGCATTAATTTTCAGCAAGAAGCTGTAGAGAAATGCTGTGATGGTATTCAAAGAGTTGAAAAGTTTTCCACCTCACAACTCACTTTGAATTTTGTTAAAGTCCAATAAAAAAAATGTAAGGAACCGTGTCACATCCTGATGAGAGGCAGTCATAGTATATAGGTATAAAGACCAAATGTAAGCATTCACATCTTCCAAGAAATAGAGCAATAATCTATTCTTCCTCCTCTCTACCTGTCTTCCAGGATCCCTTCTTTCTAACCCCTCTCATAAATAAATAATAATAACAGTAATAATAATAATCAGAGGAGAGAGTGTTAATTTCTCAAATCTACACATTTTAGTAAATCACTTTCCCCAAAGTTTGCAAGCATTTCCTAAAAACAGTCAGAGGTATGAATTTTTTTTTCTCTCTCTCTCTCTCTTTAAATCACAAAGCAAAATTCCACTGTCCCTCCCCCCACCCCCCCACTTCTAAAAAAAAAAAAAAAGTTGTCGAGTTTTGCTTTTCTATTCACTGCAGTCCTGGCCAAAGTAAAGCCCTCTTTCTCAATGACGTCAAGATCTTTACCAAGATTAGGCTTTCATTTCTCTATTGCAGCAATTAGCCAGGGAATGTATAAAAGGCTTCAGGGAGACTCACTGGGCTGCAGAGAGCACTTTGCACCACAGATAGCACGAAGCAAAGCCAGAGGGAGTGTGGAGAGGAGAGGAGCCAGCCGCCCCAGGAGAAGGGAGAGAGTGAGACAGGCTGGGGGAAGGAGAACAGAAAGTGTGTGTAAAACGGAGTAAAGAAGGGGGAAAAAAAAACTACCCTTAAAGCACATTTTAAAAACTCTGGCAATTCAAGAAAGAAACAGGCTCCGTATCTGAACATAGAGACAATGAAAAGCTCAAGAAAATTTTGCAGTCTCTGCCAGGCTCATAGGTGCTTGGAAATGAAAGTGGAACTAACTGCCTGTCTCTAACCGACTCTGAGAGGGTGACTGGATTAGGGACTGGTACGCCAGTTTTTTTTTTTTTAACATCTTAAATCCTGAAAAAAAAAAAAAAAAAAAAAAAAAAAAGGCAGCAGCTCCGAATTGAATGAATTGATGGGCACACTCCAACTGCTGGGCTGGAGAGACTGGACTTGGTCTTGCCATTTCTGCTTCTTTGAAAGAGGAGAGAGCTTGGGCTTCCTTTTAATTTAGTTTTTCTCCTTCTCCCCACACCCCCCAACCTTCCCCTTTCCCTCCCCACCCCCTCTATTACCACCCCCTTTTAAATAAGAGGGTGAAGGGGAGCCACGGCGCACACTGGAGCTGACTCAGGAGCCAGAGAAGATGGGCATCCTCAGCGTAGACTTGCTGATCACATTGCAGATTCTGCCAGTTTTTTTCTCCAACTGCCTCTTCCTGGCGCTCTATGACTCGGTCATTCTCCTCAAGCACGTGGTACTGCTCTTGAGCCGCTCCAAGTCCACTCGCGGGGAGTGGAGGCGCATGCTGACCTCAGAAGGGATGCGCTGCGTCTGGAAGAGCTTCCTCCTTGATGCCTACAAACAGGTGAGCTCGCCGGAGGGGCTTCTTAGTTCAGCAGGGGCAGGGGCTGCAGTGTCGGGGACTGGAGGCCCCTTGGGAAACCTGGGGTGAGATTGTGGAGCCCTATTGGGGGGCCGAGTGGTTATGCTCAAGGGAGCGCCTGCCTTGACATTCTTACACCTGTCACACAAGTTAGATTTGGGGTTGACAGGGTGTAAGCCATGCTGACTCTGCGTGACCTGAGAAGGAGTCTTTCTAACAAGGGGCATCTAATGGCGTGCTGTGCTTTTGGAGTAGAAGGTGTTTGTGCCGGCAGGATAACTTCGGGAAAAGTCTGAAGATGTTGGGGGAGGGAAGCCTGATACATTTCATCTGCTTGTGATTAACTGGGATTTTGATGTTTTGCTTGATGCGATGCTAGGTGGGCTGTATGGGGAAAGACAGGTCTAGGATGGGCTTGGACAAGCAAGAGGGAAAAAGGAAATGCTACCAAGACTCTTAAGGAGAGGACAAGGCTGCAGAAAATGGTCACAACAGGTGTGGTTTGGCATCATAGTCATGTCATTTCTGGGAGAGGTAAGAGTTAATGAACACAAGCCCGTGTGCAGCAGTGTCTTCTATGTGGTGCTGGTCTGGACCCTTTAGGAGAGGTTGTCTGGCCCTCCACCCCAAGTTACTAGATGGCAGTGTGCAAAAGGAAGGTCTTAGCACTGGCTCAGAACTCCAGACTTTGTGCGAGACACCAGGTTTGCTTTGTTTCTCCAAAGTAAAATACGCTGTCTTAGAAAGAGCAGATAGGTCTATGGTTTGTTAAATTCAAAGCTGTTAGGACACCTGCCTTGAACACTGAAGCAGGGACCTCGCTTACCTGTGGAAGTCGTGTCCCAGGGGCTGCTCTCTCAGAGCCAGGGTTGGGATCTTTGTTTCTCAGTGAAGAATGCTGGCATTTTAGCCTTTTTGTTGCTTGGAGCATCCTTAACTCATCTGAAGGAGCAAAGTGGAACGTTTTCTCATTGGTCCTCAGTCAATTTGCCCCCTCCCCCTATGCCCATATAACTCCTGAAGGTCTCTGAGCAAGAAGAATTGACTCATTTGGCAAAAGTTGCTATCAAAGCAGACAGTTGGTTTTCCCTAACAGTATTGGGGAACCGTGTCCAAGTTCCCAAAGAAGGGAGTTTGCCAGGAATATGGAAGCCAATGAAGTGGTGAACCATAGGCAGGTAGCACCTCAGAACCAGAGATACAACTCAGAATAAAAGAAGGGAGAGGGAATAAGTTCTCCATAAATAAACACTAGAAAACTAAACCTGTGCACCAGGAAAGGACAGGATATTAACTTCTAGTCACAAAGAATCCAGAGTAGGGTTGTTCCAATGAAAATCAAACAAGTATCCAAGAAGAAAAAAATCCAACATGATTTAGGGAAGTTTTACTAGAATACATGTCTTTGTTATTGAGAGTAACCTGCAGAAGGGTTGCGTTTATTTCTGAAGATAAGAATATTGTCAGAACTCTCGTCAATAATGAAACATCCTTTTATAATAATATGAAATGATTCTCAAGTTCTAACAGTAAAATGCACTTACATTGTGTGTGTGAGGCCAATAGGAGAGGTGATAAGAAGATATTGAGGGGATCATTTCATTTCTACAAGTGCATACACTGAATGTAGAATGTTTATATTTTTGTATTTGTAGGTTTTGGGAGATGACATGGCAATGTCAGTGGTATAATCTCAGCATATTAAACTCTCACTTTTTTGAAAGAGAACTGACTTTTGCCTATAAAAAAAAGTCACTGCCTAGGATAATTTTACTTATATGCATATCTACTCCTATAAATAGCTCTCCCATCAAATATAGGGTCTGTGATGTTGCCCACAGATATTAAATGAGGTTGTGTCTCCTATTAAGTAACTTACTGAAATTACAAGGGAAAAGCAAACAAATGCTTCTGTAATAGACTTTATTATTTATTTTTTCATTAATGTATAGTGTTCCATTGTGTTGCAATATTTTGTTATTCCTATTCCAGGAACTGAGAAGGATGAGTGATTTGTTGTTGGTTTTTTTTTTTTTTTTTTTTGCCTATGGTTTGTTCATTCCTCCCCTGCTGATTTGATTAGTGACCACATTCACGACTGATGTTATTAAGTTTGCTTTTAATGATTTATTTACTAGCTACCACCATGGGAGGAAGCATCCCACGAACCCACATGTCCAGAGACCAGACTGGACTGGGTATGTAATGAATGGAAACATGGTAAACACAATGTGCACTGATTTAGGTCCCCTGCTGTCTCCCAGTATGGCAAGGGTGGTGGTGGCTGTCGTGGCATTTGAGGGTCACCCGGAATCTCTGAAACAGGTGGAATCACTTTCCCAAGTGCTGTTGTCATCTGTGCCACCTTCTCGGGCGTAGCCATTTCTAGTGACACCCTGGAGGAGGTTCTGGAGGAGATGGCATCACAGTATTTCACAATCCTGACTTGCATTATTCTGAGGCTGCCACCCCTGAAGCAGAGTTTTCCAGGATGACTATACGCACATGTGATATGATTACATGTGTCATTTCTAATTCTTCTTGTTGTCGAATAGCAGATTTTGGGGAAGATTTTAAGAGAAGGTACAGTCAAAGGGTTATCTCTGGGTTTGGCTGTTACAAGAGGCAATAGAGAAATTAAAACAGAGCAGCAGCAACACACACACACACACACACACACACAACCACCTCTTCTTCATGAATATGCTGAATGCAATTTAAAATTGACTTTGTGGGAAGCTTTTAAAGATGATTTGGGTTTGGTTAGAGGGAGTTCCATGCACTGTTGTGATGAAAAAGTAGGTCTACGGAATCTTTTGAGAGATTGGGGTGAATAATTGATAATTTGGTAGGTACGTCTCCCTAGTCAGTGTCTAGCACGGCGTCCTGCTGCTGGTGCTCGAAGGCTGAAATAGCAGCGATGGGCGCACTGCCCTGCCTGGGAGCCCGCGACCCCCTAAATGACGTGCGAAAGGAAACACACCTATAGAGTCTGAGAAGCAGTTTCGCTTCCTCACGGTTAATATGACAGTGGTACAGAAAATATATTCCTGTGAACATATAATTTTGGTTTTGAAAGGGTCTCTTTAACATTCTCCTCCTCCTCCTCTTCATTCTCCTCAAGCCTTTGACACTAGTTTCCACAATGGAAAATGGCTCTTTGAAGAGAGAAACATTCTCAAAAGAACACAAAAATGAACCCCAGTCAGAGCTTGTCCATCACTTGGGTGAAACAGTGGGAAACGATAGAGCTCAGAGCTAAGTTTTCCAGGTAGGAATCGAAAAAGAGAATGACCAAAAGGGTACTGAATTCAGAGGAGAGAGTAGGTAGCTTATTCTCCAACTCTGATGTATTTGGCCAATTTGAATGTAAATGGTTAAACGGCTGCGTAATAATTGTTTGGCTATGCTTGTAAAGACATCGATGCAGCCTGGTCATTATGTCAAAGAGTTTGAAATTTCCTGATAGTGAATAAAGCCGTTCCAGGGCTTTGAATAGCAAGAAGGGGCTCTAAAAACTATTCTGCCACATACCCACCCCTCATTTTTATCCTTTGCTTTACTTGCTATCATGAGATTAGGTAATGTGTTGTCCAGAAGCCTTACTCAGGCTGTGGCAAAGAAAAGAAAAAAAGGTCAATAGTATATGCTCTATTTCCAGCTTCCACTTGACGAATGGTCCTTTCTTTGTTCCTTTCACCCTGCATTTCTCAGCGCACAGTGCGTTCCCCTTTCCCAGGGCACTGAACGCTGTCAGTAAAACGAACCCCTTCACCAAGGGAATCACAGTCATACACACGCCATGCAGTGACACTCTTGCTCATATTTATAAACATGGCTATCGCAACATTTGGGCTTGGCCCAGAGATGTGCCCTGTTGTAAGAAGGCAAGCCCTTTATTTGCTCTCCTGTTGGTGGTGTGTTGATGCAGAGTACAAAAACTGAAGAAAGGGCCCTTGTAATCATGTAGACGAGAAAGATAAAAGTCGGTGATGACGATACTGCATTTTACGTATGTCTTTTCTGATTGTTGCAAAATAAAGGAACCCTTTGGGAACATCGGAACTTCAAGACCAATTAGTGGAAATGATGCTTCTTGTGTTTGGGCATTAAATACTGGGCAGGGTTCTCTTTAGAGCGGCTAATGCTGGCAGGGAAAGAGGTACCGACCTAATTACTCTTCCGCAAGAGTAAAAAATGCCTTTTGAATGCCTCTTTGGCAAATATGTCTCATTAAGGACAAAAACCAAACACAAACCCTCTAAGAAGGAGAAATTAAGATGATAGGTAACTTGTGGCCAGGAGACTTTCTGTGCCACTGTGGGAAATTAAAACAAAGTTTGGGAGTATCAGGGGATAACTTGTTTTTGTTGAGCTTCTTTCCTGCAGCCTAAATGTTATTATTATGGGACCAGCTTTATTTTCTTCATCATTTTGGCTCTTTGTCAAGGAATGCTCTGCTCCTGGGGAAAGCAAAGAATCTTCCATTATTGAAGACGATGGTGATGCTCCCATCCCATCTCGGCAGGGTACATAACCAAGCAAACCTAGAAATTCTCCATTTAAAATTCTAGTCATAATAATTCAATTTTCATGGTGACCAAATGGGAAAATGAGAAATGAACAATAAATCTTTAAAAGATTTTCTTTGTTGTTTAAAGCAAAGTTTAATATGTTAAATTTCTAATGTTTTCTTTTATTGCTGAATTATCCTCCATCAGCAGGTTTTTAGCTCGGATGTATAAATTTTATGATTAGCGTATGACACTTATAAAAGCAGACTACTAGTCTACTCACATTTGGACATACAAATCATGGGTGTGTGTTTTCCCACATAGTATTTTTAACAACATTGATCTTAACTATTCATTTCTCATGAACAGAATATGTTAATGACATTCTAATCTGCAGTGGGATCCCATATATGTTCAACAAAATAAACAGGAGTGACAATTTTCATTTTATACAGTAACCAGCTGAGATAATCAAGAAGAGGTCAACAGCTTGAGGTGTTGATTATGACAGTACCCTCCAGTAGGGCTCCTGGATTAATTTTTTAAAATTATCTATCTCCATGAGCTCATTAATCACCCAAATATGGTTATGTTCATTGCAGGTCAAAGTTATTATTAAATATACAGTTCTTCACTGACCCCCTACCTAGGATTATGACAACTATCATTCATACACATTCATTCAATAATTCATTTATATATACATTTTTTTCATTCAATGAATGAAATATGTATATTTGAAGTAAAATTTAATTTTCATTCAAATATATATATTCATTCAAATATGAATATATTTGAGATTCATATATATATGAAATACATATCTATATATCTATATCTATATCTATATCTATATCTATATCTATATCTATATCTATATCTATATCTATATCTATCTATAATCTATATCTATATCCCAGTTTAACAAAATGCCAAATCTCCACACACAAAGAATATTATGTATTTGCTATCTTTCTTATGTTTTAATTTTAGAGTTAAGGTGTTGTTCTTGTCCTAAATGTTTTAAGGTAAACTGGTATGTCTGTGTTTTGGAAAGAATTATGTGGCTGAATTATATTTTGTCACTAAGAAGAAAGAAAAAAGTGCTTTAACTTTCCAAGAAAATTAACCTCAGGTAATAAGAGTCACCTGTGACTGAAGCATCAGATTAGATTATTCAGTTGAATAATCAGGAATAATGCAAAGATCAACAGTTCTGCTTGGGTGAGAGCCAAGGACGTTAGAAACCCACTTAACAAGAACACACGATTGTTGATTGGTCTTAAAAATGACTCCAAAAGGCAGATGGATGTTTTCACACACCAAGAGCCTATAAGTCTATAGTCCAGACATGATTTTTTCCCCCTGTGCATGGATTGCTCACTTAACATAAAGTACAACAGCTAATGGATGCAGACTGATTGAATGCATTCAGATCTTTATGGTTTAAGTATGTTGAGGAACACAGCACAGCAATATGGTAAAAAGCAGCTGTGCTAGAATTGTTACTGCTATTTTAAGTGGAAAAGATATAATGGTAAGGTAACGATAGTCCTACCTACCACCTAATCTACAAAGAAGTACAAAAAGAACCCATAGATTATAGATTTATAATATCTTTAAATGTATATGTATATCTTTAAACTTTAAGTATATTTTAATACCTCAGAAACTTATATAAGTGTGGTTTATATAAAATAATAAACCAGTTGGAGAAAGACAAGTACCATATGATTTCACTCATATGTGGAATCTAATGAACCAAATAAACTAACAAACAAAATAGAAACAGATTCATAGATAGAAAACAGACCAACAACTGTCAGTGGGAAGGGGGGTTTTGGGGGCTGGGTTAAAAGGTGAAGGGATTAAGCAAACAAACAAATGAACAAACAAACTCTTAGTCACAGACAATAGTACGGTGATTCTCAGAGAAAAAGGGGGGTTGAGGGGAGGTAGAAGAGGGTAAATAGAGGATAAATGGTGATGGAAGGAGACTTGACTTGGGGTGGTGAACACACAATACAATACACAGATGATGTATTATAGAATTGTACACCGGAAACCTATATAATTGTATTAACCAATTTTACTCTAAAAATTCAAGAAAAGAGTAAAAAAAAAAATAAAGAAATTAAATAATTCATCTAAGGGGATTATTTTTCTTTCTCTAGTGTCACTTATAGATTAACCAAGACAATTAATATAAATAAAATAACATTTTCTCTGATAGTGATCGAAAACAAATGTACCTATTTAAATCACTCCAACAGCTTGCTTTTGTAAGAAAAAAAAGCATTATTTTAAGATTTCTTTTAGAAAACTAATAGTCCTTGTTTTGAACCTGCCCTGCTAAGATTTTTTCAGAAGCGAGAGACAGGGCTTCTTTAATTCTTTCTTTACAGTTAAAATGAGTTATGCATTAACATTAGATAGAAGCTTCTGTATAAAAACCCTTGAATGTTTTATATCATTTTGGATTGTTGAATTTTTAACAATTCACTTCTAAGTGATTTCAATTAACAGTAGTTTTATATGTGGCTGTATTTATATCAGAAGAATAAGTTGATCCAGTTGGAAGTGTTTTGTAATATTAAGGATAGTGTATAAAAATCAATTGTACTTCCATAAGTTGTCCCGGATGTTATTGGCTTTGATTAAACTATTCTAAGGGAAGATCCAGTTGTGTTCATTCAAACTGAAGTAATTGGCTCTTTTATGTTGCCTGTTTTTTATTATCAATTACAGATCCAACGGCCAGCAAACTTTCCTTTGGTCTCTGTTCAACTATTTAAACCACATGCAAAGGGTGCACATGGAACAATTTTCTTCTATATCTCGTCTGCCTGAGTATTTTATAATGTAGAGGAGCTTGTTAATAAAGTGGATGGTAGAAAAGTAAATGGTTTGTGACTTCCTAGATAAAAAGAGGAAAATAAACAGAAAAAACACACACATGAAAAATGAGAAATAAAAAGAATTCTGGAATAGTTTTATGTTTTTATTTGTTCATTTGTTTGTTTAATAAAAATGATGAGATCTAGTAAAAAAAAACAAAAATAGGCAGTAACTGTAGAAACCTCCAGGAAGGATGTCATATGGTGAGAGCTCAAATTACTTCTAATTCTTTTTTTAAACATAGAATTAGCCATAGGGTGGAATTCTGTTTTACCTGTTTGGGTGGCATCTAAGACTGGCAGCCTTCTTCCACACAGGGAGTTATTGTGTATAAAGAGCTCTATTTCTTATGTTCTCCTTCTGTGACCATATGAGGAAGACAGGCATTATTATTATTATTATTATTATTTTTTTTTTTTATCCTCACCCGAGGACATTTTTCCATTTTTTTGTTCAGGTAGAGTGGGAGGGAGAGAGAGGAACAGAGAGAGAGAGAGAGAGAAACATCGATGTGAAAGGAACACATCGAGTGGCTGCCACCCGCACAACCGACCAGGGCTGGGGACAAACTGCAACCAAGGTACATGCCCTTAGCGGGAACCGAACCCGGGTCTCTCAGGACCACAGGCCGACGCTCTAACTGCTGAGCCAAACTGGCCAGGGCAAGACAGGCATTATTATCACCATTTTACAGATGGGAAAGTTGAAGTTCTGAAGAGGTTAAGTGGGACTGGCTCTTTTTATAAATGGTGGACCCCACATTGTCTAGCTCTGGCCAGGAATAGAGCCCACTGGTATCACTGTCCATTGAGTAAGATTAAATGACTTAGCGTCATGCAATAAAGTAAAGGTCATTTCTTAGTGCTTTAGAATTTAGAAGAGAAAATTCAGAAAGAGGTACTATGTTCCATGGCTCTGATAATTTTTCTTAAAGTAGACCATTTAACTTTTTAAATGAAGTCAATTAATCATTTGTTCTATAAGGTGTGCTAAGCATTGACAGCAAAGTAAGGATAGCGAAGAATACCAACCTCAACTTAATTATGAAGAGAATTAACCACAGTGCTTTCAATGATAAAAATAATTACCTGCAGTGATTACACAGAATGAAAAAGACTTTTATTCCTTAGGGCCATTCTTCACATTACCTGCCATGGTGCGTCTTTACTCAAATCAATACATGTTTACCACATTTTATTAGAGCCACTTGTTTTCACATAAAGTGAATTGAAGTGACAATGTGTTTAATGTGGCATTCTCTTTCTCTTTCTTTTATTCACAACCAGGTGAAATTGGGTGAAGATGCTCCCAATTCCAGTGTGGTGCATGTCTCCAAGCCTGAAGGAGGTGACCACAGTGAAAATGGTGCCCAGGAGAAGACAATTGATGGAGCCGAGTGCCACCTTCTTGACTTTGCCAGCCCTGAGCGCCCACTGGTGGTCAACTTCGGCTCAGCAACTTGACCTCCTTTTACTAACCAGCTGCCAGCCTTCAGAAAACTGGTAGAGGAGTTCTCATCAGTGGCTGACTTCCTGTTGGTCTACATTGATGAGGCTCATCCTTCAGATGGTTGGGCGGTGCCTGGGGATTCTTCTTTGTCTTTTGAGGTGAAGAAGCATCGGAACCAGGAAGACCGATGTGCAGCAGCCCATCAGCTTCTGGAGCGTTTCTCCTTGCCGCCCCAGTGCCGAGTTGTGGCTGACCGCATGGACAATAATGCCAATGTAGCTTATGGGGTAGCCTTTGAACGTGTGTGTATTGTGCAGAGACAGAAAATTGCTTATCTGGGAGGAAAGGGCCCCTTCTTCTACAATCTTCAAGAAGTCCGGTGTTGGCTGGAGAAGAATTTCAACAAGAGATGAAATTAGATTAGCTGGTTAAAGGTATGATTCAAATAGAGCTTTACATATATATACATATATGTAAAGGAAAGGAAACTAAGAACTGAATCCACTATTTCAACTGAATCTCATTGCCTCACTGAAAGACAGAAATTTACCTGTCAGAAGAACATAAACCTCTAACATCTCAATATTTTTTTCACCACTCAAATAGCATTGGGCTCAGTAGTAGCCCCACACTTCTCTTTCTTAAAAAAAACTTAAAATTTTTTCTTATTGAAAAGGCCCCAAAATGGAGAGGAAGAAACCCTGTTTGCTACAGCTGACGCATGCTTTGAGACCTGAAGAAAAGACATACCCGAATGACTACCATGTTAGGGAAGCTACTGTTCTTGTTAGTATGAGTATTGCCTAGGCTTTATTCAACATGGGTAGAGCTCAACTAAAAAAATCTTAAATATTCACTCATAATGAGGCCTTGAACCTGGGCCATGTGGTTAGAACCTTGATGTTTAACATGTTAGTTTCTGATGTTCTAGTTTCTAGCCATGTAGTGCTCTATGCTCATCTAAACATCCCAGAACTCACAAGTGTATTTGTAGATATCCAGAATGATTCCTACCTGGAGGGGTAGAACAATCGTCTGAAATCTGAGAGTTACTTTCGAGGCAGGTGAGGGAAGTACTAGAAGAAAATCAAGTTGGCTAACTAGGAAGAGGACACAGAAGGATTAGGAGGCTTCATAGAGTTTCACCTTGAAAGTGAGACTAACTTCTTACCCCCAGAAACATGGAGACATACACAAGGCCAGAAAAAGAAGGAGCTCAACTAAAAGTAGCGTAGAGAATATACACGGGAAATCAATGTATTTATCTTATACCCCTAGATTGAGGGAGAAAGGGGATTGAAAGAAAAATACACACTCTAATATTTGTATTTCTGAGGGGTTTGGGAGGAAATAATTACCTTTGAAACGTGTGTGTGTGTATTTTTAGTGGGTGAATAATACTGATTAAAGGTAAAACCAGTGGGTCCAGCAGTCCTGGTCTGCCCCTCTCCATCCCTACAGTTATGATGTGCCCCAACTCATTCTTGATCTCGTTGTCTGCAGAAGTGTTTTTCAATGCTGAGCTCTTCAGCTCAAAGTCTGTATGTGGATTCACACTCAGATGCTGTGGGAGGTAGATGCTCTACCCATTCAGCTAAGCACTACTTTCCTTTCTAAGTAGGTGAACTGTAATGAATGATCAGTACAAATAAACATGGTTTCTTCAGTTGTAAAATAGAGGAAGAGAAAATTTCCATCAGTAATTTTGGAGGCTTTGCTGTAAGGCAATTCTCAGTAGCATGGGATTTAGTAAAATGGAATTCCCATTGACATGTGAATTGGGACTTGGGTCTTCCTTCTTCCTTTGTTTCTATTAGCTGAGGTCTAGTAATCTAAGGCCTTTATAGTACATTAATATAAAATTATCTTAATATATACATGTATATATATATAATATTTCTCTTTAAAATAAAGACGTGATAGTTTTACCTATAAATAACATAAGTAATATCTAAATATTATAACCTCCAAAAGAATACAACCTCTAAAAGAATACAACCTACAAATTTTGTATCATTAATATAAGGATGCTATCAAATCACAGTACATGGTTGTATTTATATGTACAAACAAAGGTTCTTATGACTATTCCATTAATAATTAAATCATAAAATAAAACTAATAGAAAGATATCTAAACTTGAAAATATCTTTCTGAACTAGATGCCTGAAATGAAAAATATGTTGGAACTGAGTTAGCATAAAACAGAATTAAAAAAAAAAAATTGGAATAATGTAGTAATCATATCACTAGTCAGTTTATTGTTTAGCTATCAAAGGACCATTTTAACTGACTTTTTATGCAGCAGTATTTAAGCTTCTCAGTATCTTAAATTCTACAAAACACACCCATGAAGAAACAAAGCAGAGTTTGAAAAGGTGACACTATCTAACACATTTCTGGAAAATCACATTGAGAATAGATTATTTCAGAGTTAAATAGTTAAACTCCATAAGTCAAGGCTTATCAGTGGGCCCCACGATTTTTATCTTCAAAATGGTGTTGAGATTTATGTGGTAGATAAAAGAACAATTGGTTGCCGCACACCCACTCGTTGTCCTTGAACTCCTGCTTTGTTCTACAGGTACAATAAAGGAACAGGATGTTAGAGAAGCTGGTGGGGGGATGAGATTTGGCGAAAGCAGTTAGTGCTAGTCGTCTGGGGAAAAGGGTGATAGAAAAAGTCACCCAGTTGTGATACATTTTTAAAGAAAGAAAAAGTTGTGTGTGTGCAATACCTCTCCTTGAGGAGAATCCAATGGAGAAATGAAGCAGTGGAAGTAGACATACAAAGGCATAGGCTGAATATCAGGGAAAAAGATATGTTCGCTGGAACATAAAAGAGTCACTGGAAGAAAGACTGTTGGGGGCCAATGGAGAAAGTGAATTGACAAAGCTCAGGAATCTTACAATTTATAGAATGGCTTGGTGTTGTCAGAAGTATGATAAGCCTGTAATTATGTAACCTATTTATCTCAACATGAATTTTTATGATTTCCTGTGATGTGTCTTTTATGAACTTAACAAGAACTCATTATTTGAGATAGAGGGAATCGGTGCTTAGCTGATGTGCTGAGAGAAATTATTCGATTAACAGTACCCACCCCACCAAGCTTGTCTTTTATAAAGTATGTTCCTTTGAAAAATTGTAGTTCTTATTGTCACAAGGAAAAAAAAAATATATATCTATATATCTATATATATTTAAAATTTTATGTGTAAAACTTTGAGTTGTTGTTCTTAATACCCAAGCATCTTTACCCCTGTGTTTACATGGAGCTATCAGTTTAGCCTTTTAAACTGAATTAGCTTGTCTGCTATTGAAATAGTTTCCAAGCAATTTTAGATATTATCTTAGCATCTGGGTTCTCTCAAACAGGTAGTGTTTGAAAGACTTATGTCTTGGAACTCTTCAAAACTTACTTTATTTTATTTTATTTGAAAATATTAGTGGAATCAACAATGACTGTCTTAAATGGGCATAAATGAAATGCCTGCACAGTAATGTAGAAGTATTTGTTACGGAACTTAAAATGTAACTGACCTCTTTAGAAACAGGTTAGAAGCTCTGTTCTTGCTTTGTATAGCTAAAGTGAGTCATTTAACTTATCTGACGTTTTATATTTATGTTTTGGATCTCCAGTCCTATGTCTTCACCTTGTTTATAGAATGTACCCCTGATTTTTGGCAATATCAACTTCTAAATGGCGTATTGAGTTAGTTAAATTCTGCCATTAACCAGGAAATGCCTATTCTATGATCAAGGAGAAAAGAACGGCAGCTGCCTTTCATTTTGCCTCAGTGTATTTCACTAGTTGGGCTCTTGAATAAAATTTAGGAAATGTGGCGAGGTCATGTGTGAGTACTGCCTGGCTACATAAAATACCAGAGAGGCAGGTGAAAGACAGTATCTAGGTCTCTGGGGAAATTCCCAGCTGAATACAAGGTAGCCTCAGCTTGTCCTATGGGCTACGTCCATAGCACAAGGAATGCACTGGTGTACAGGACTTCCCGTTCTGTAAATCCTAAGAGGATAAACCTGGACATTATTCCACCTGACCTCTGACTGAAGATGTGGAAGATAAGCTAAACTAGAATCACATGCACATTGCAAAGAGAAAAGTGCAGACACCGACTTCTGTCCCATTGAAGAATTAACGAAACCCTTTACCAGCATTTCAAGTATTTCAGAACATGCCCAATGTCATATCTCTCAGCAGTGGAGAATAATAATGAGCCTTTAAATTCCAGAAGCTTTTTTTTTTAAAAAAAAAGATATTGCCAGAAATCAGAGCTAAGATGTTTTTTGTTATATGCAAACCACCTCCCTACTTCCTCCTGTATCTTAAAAATAGAAGCTAAACCCAGTCTTCAAGTGCGAGTCTAGAATGGGCACAAGTACCAGCCTCTGCTTGCTGATGGGTACTCTCTTGGTAGTGCCCTGAAGTCCTCTGGGAAAGAAGGGGGCGGGGCCTAGGAGAGTCAGGGTGTTTGTTGCTAACTGGAGAGACCCGGGCTCTGGGGGCTTGGTCCACTTATTTGGGAAGATTCTAAAAGAAGCTTCACACCATTGGAGGAGGGCTGAGTTTCACTGAGTGACTTTAGGATGCGCCAAAAGGCCACTTCCTAATGCCTTACATTTGGGAATGCACCAGAAGCAAGGCCTCAGAGTTAAGAGACCCAGCTCTGTTCCACAGTGAGTCTGAACCAACAGAAAGCAAACATGTACCGATCTCCACACAACACTGTTCCCACAAGTCGGGCCTTGCTGCCTGTCTTGAGCAACAGCACCAGAGCTCCAGAGAGTTTATTTAATATTTACTGAGGAGACTTTGAAGACCCAGGAGATGTTTAATGAAGTCATTATTTTGGCTAAAAACTCCCCTGACCCCCCTAAAAAACAAACAGGTAAACACATAAATGAAAGAAGCCCACAGAAGGGGTTGGGAAATAAATAAAATGCTCTCAAGACTTCTACGGACCACGTCACTGGTGGGTGTGGTTTTTATGTGTGTTAGAACCGGAGGATGTGAAAACAGAAATGTCCAGTACTTTACAACCAAAGCAATGAAAAGATACTGGGTAGGAAATGTTGGCCAGTGTTGTTTAGTTTTGCATCACATGAACTCCAGACTCCATCACCAGCCCAAGTAACGGGGCACCCGAAGAGGGAGATTGGGGTGTGCGGAGGCCACAAATGTGCGAATGATAACTACTGACGAAAGAGTCATCGACTCAGTTAGTGGTTGGATGTAGTCACATTTGTTTGCCTCTGCCCATCTTGGTCTTCCTGGCAAGGAGAATATTCGGGGCATGATGCTATGAGTACTGGGCAAATGTGGTGAGAATGCATGTGTGTATCTCTGCGTCTTGGTTGAAGAAACAGAAATGCTTTGGAGACTATCAGTAGAAAGAGTGTTATTATATTGGTGCTGAGTGGTATGTGTGCTTTTACAATTTGTTCTTGTATTTTAATAAACTTTGAATAAAAGAATAAAGTTACTCTTTGGTTCTATTTGTTTATTTTTGAATTACTCTCTAGACCTTACCCATGGCTGGGACACATTCATGGTTGACAAGGGAAAGAGAATCCATCATTCTAATATTTATTCCTTGGTATTTGTGGGGAAAGTTGCCAGCAAGGCCAAGTTATTTTAATCTCATGCTGTGTGCCAGAGTCTTCAAGGAAATCAAGACAAGTTAAAAGAAAATCTTCAGATACTTTCCATATTCATGGACAAGTTGCACACAGAATTCATGGAAAGGGGCCTGTTAAAGAGACTGTGGAGCAAACTTCTACTTGGTTATATTTACACCCCCGGTTTTCTAAGTGCAATAAATAAACTTTCCAGGAAGTTGAAAGTTGGTTAAAGCAACACACACACACACACACACACACACACACACACACAGTGCGTATATGTGTGTATTTATATATGTTAGCTACATATATAGATATGTATATACACACACATATATAATTTGTTATACAGTTGTCAATACATTAATGTAAAAAGAAAAAAAAATCAACATCTGAACACATTTATATCAAGCACTTTCCACTGTGAAAAGGTATAAAGCATATAAATGGTTTACAGGGGTAATGGCCTGTTAATGACAAAGATTTATTTGCCAAATGGTTAAATATGTCCATTTTGTTCCTGAAAACAGGTGGCTTAACCAAAGTATTAGTATCTGTTAAGACTCTTGCTCATGTTTTCCTACACATAATAAGTGCATTAATGTTTGTAGTGTCTTATATAACATTCCTGATTTTCAATGGAAATGTAAAGAATCATTGCTTTGACAACTATGGATTGAGTTTCCATGCTCTGCAGGGTGCACCCTGTGCTGGGTGCAAGGGATAAGCTAAAGCAGTAAAACTAAACTCATAAAGACATGACTTCCTCAAGGAATCTGTCAGCTATTCGTTGAGACTGCAAATAACAAACTCAAATTAGTCTACAACAACAACAAAAACAACAAAACAAAAATCTGAATTTATTGGCTAATGTAACCAAACCCTGGGAATGAATGGGTTGAAACTTGCCTCAGGGACAATCGGATCCAAGGGCTTAGAAATCCTCAGTGCTTACTAGGTCTTTGTTTTGTTTCTTTTTGGGGTGTCAGCTCTTTTGTTCAGACTGGTTTTTACTTATGTTGGGTGACTTGGCTGGGCACAGCTTCTCACCTTCATTCTAACTATAAAATGGCTTAGATAGAGTTTAATCTTACCTGCAGGGAAGGACTTGAACTGGACTAACTTGTATTATAAGCCTGCTCTGTTGCCATGTGTGTAGAGTTTGTTACCACAAG